TTGTCAAAGATCCTAATCCCACCCCCTGGAAAAAAATGTGGTAGTAGTCTAAAATTGGATAGCTAGGGGAAAAGTCCCTGGGTTTATATGTAAAACTTAGTAATAATCGCGTTTGTGCCAGTTCGTGTTTTGTTAGGTTCGAGATGTGTTTTCTGGTCTGTGTTGAGGCTGCAGTTTCCMCCTCGTTTGGTACAAACCCCACGAAAACGGCAGAGCAGCCCTTTGGAATTGCTTTTTAAATGCATCTTCAGTAGGGTCTTCTAAAGTTTATCAAATAAGAAAACTATGTTTCGGTTTTGTTTGGGTTTTGTTTCTTTGTTTTGGTTTTAATTCTTCAATGTTTTAGACAGTTTCCGGGTGCAGGCGACGTTATGTGTTGGGGGTTTTTTCGTTTCTTTCCTCTTAATGCCCGCTCCCAGACTCTYGGAGATGTGATTTCTATTTAAGCGGATGGGGGGTGGGGAAGGAAGAAGAGTATGTTTTGGTTTGTTTTTCTTTTCCCGGGGAAACCTGGATGTCTTCTGCCGCGGGAGACCCCTCCCAGCAGGGCCGCGGGAGGCACCGCCGGCCCCTCTCCGCTCCAGTGGCCGAGGTGGTGCCTCTCTCAGCGGCGGCCTCTACGCAAGGCCGGGGATCGGCGGCCTAGTGCTGCCAGTCGGGGGAGGARGCGAGCGAGGGCTTCTGCGCTCACCGTGTGGGAACCAGCCCYAGGATTTAGTTTTTCAGATGAGGCAGGGGAATGCGAGCTGCCMCCCTGGGTGGGCAGGAAACCAAGAGCGAGTGGCTGAGAGATGGGCAGTGTCACCCCACTGCCCTCTCCTCACTCCTTGGCTGCACTGCAGTGGGGGCAGAAGGGTGGCCTGTCACACATGAAGGTGTTATGTGTGGAACAAGGCTTAAGGGAGTGGAAAATGGGCTCATGTGGGCTGAGGTGGTTGACTGAGGCTTTTAGCCCCCACCTACACCCCACTCGTGGGGAAACTTAGAGTCACTGCTTTTATTTTTGCTGAGGAATGAGCTGGTTGTTGCTACCTCGCTCTGCATTCACTGGGTGCAGGGAGCATTGCTGGGTGCAGCTGGTGGCATCCCAATGACCCCAGTGGTGCTGCAGAGCAGCAGTGTCTTTGGTGGGATGCTGGGATGTGAGATGGTGGTGGCCAGAGCAGGGAGGTGTGGAGGTGTCAGGCATGGTGGGCACAACATGGTGGTAGGGAATCCAAGAGCTGTTGGCTGTGAGAAGCACTCAAGCCCAGGGAGTGGGACATGGCAGAAAGCAGCTGCAGGACTGAGCAGGAGCCAAAGTTTGTAGTGGGCTGTGCAGCTTGTTCTTTGTYTGACGAGGGCCCAGTCATCTATTCTGCTGCACCACTGAGGTGRCCAAACTGCAGCCAGTGAAAGACTGTGGTGCAGACCAGTGTAGCCTTTTTCCTGGGGAGCTCCACTCTCAGCTCTACAACCTGTCACTTGCATTTCAGTGTACTTATTTCTGGYTGAAATGTTACCGTCAATGCCTGGAAGTTGGTCAAGTGTCAACTCTTTGCCATCTCAGAAATACAGCATGAAAAGCRTTGCCCAATTTCAGCTCTGGCAGAGTTATGAATGACACCCGTGTCCTTGATGAGATAAATTCAAGTCTTTACATTTATCTTGTGTTTCTACCATCTACCCATCTAGAGCATATCCACCCAGTTTGTGGTTCAGTCACCCAGTTCACTGGCTCATGCTTCCTTCTGAAGAAGGCAAGGAAACCATTCTTCCTATCAGTAGCATTTTATTCCTGTCTGGCAAATGGTTTGTAACTTATTGAGGAACTGTGAATAGAGTTCTCTCTAGATGCTGGACCAKAGAGGATAAGTGTCTCTGGACTGAAAGGATAAGAGCTTTGCAGTGGGGATATAAATACTCAGGATTTGAATTTTGCTGGTGATTTGAGTGGACAGGTCTGGACAAAGAGATTTGGTGGGGAGGGAGAAAAGGGATGCTTAGACACAATGCTGCATAAAATGCTTTTGACTGTGTTTCTAAAAATACTTAAAATACCAAGAAAACAAAAGCTAAACAAGCTTTGTACTTAAAATTAATTATGTAGTAGCTGTGGTATAGTGTGCAGCAGAACTGAAGTGTTGCTCATGTGGGTGGCTCACTGTGTTTTGGGTTTGCTTGGTGTAATGAGTGCATGGCTTGGTCTGAGCGTTAAATGAAACACAGTGAARAGGCTGAAACTCTGTGGGGACACAGAAGTGACTGAGTTTGCTGTTGAGGTGACAGGGGAGGAGGTGTGAGGAGCAACAAGAGGAGTCTGAATGGCAGCCTCCTGCAGTGGTTGGGGCAGGCAGTACAGGAAAGGAGATTGCTGGTGTGGAGTCACATTGAAGGAGAAAGAAAGCTGACTGTTTCTGTGAGGTGTTCAAGAAGTTGTTGGGGCAGCAGCACATGGTGTACACTTTGAASGTGTTACCATGAGGAGCTGAGTCTTATGTGCAAAGTCATGACATAAGCCTTGAGGTGTGACAGAACTTTAGCAGAGAAAGCTGATCACCCAATTGCACGGAGGGTGGAATATGAGACAGTACCAGGGAGCAACAGAGGGGAGATCAGGCCTGTGGTTTATGTCTAAAGGCAATGGAGGGTTTTGTGTTGAATATGAAGGTAGAACTGCAGAGCATAAATAACATGCAGGGCACAGAAGGTTGCTTTTTACGAGGGTTTTATAGCAAGTATCAAACTGTAGCTGTGTATTGTGAGACTTACAGAGATACAATAKGTTGGTCAGCTATCCGTATGAAGCAAGGGTGGAGATACTCAAGTTGGATGTAGTGGTAATGATGGTGAGGAGAGAAAAAACAGAAGGGGGACTTCGAGGTGCTAGAAGAGTTGGGTGACTAGAAAAGAGACATTCTGTAGCAATTCCCAGTAGTCCTTTAGCTGCACTCCAGGTGTGGGTCAGTAACTTTGGAATGCCCTTCTCTCTGGGCTAGCAACAGTAACCAGTTCTTGCTGTAACATAGGAAGTGGTTCCTACTGCTCCTCTTCTTCTCTGTTCTCTCTTACTTCCTGTAAGAGAATTTGCAAATTCTTTGCAGAATTTCATACAAGGAGAAAAATTGAGTGAATTGCCTCTCTTCCTTGTCTACCTCTCAAGCCTGTCTGCCCRTATCATTAGTGATCATATTAACCTCACACTCTCCTTGTTAAATTTCCTTCTTCCTGAYTGCTCATTATCCAGGCTATTTATCATTTAATGCAGGCCTTCTGTTGGTGGTGTACTGAAATATATCAGCGCTTCTCCATCACTTCTGTTAAAAGCATTTGTAGAGATGCTGATCATCACTTGTCTGTTGGCTTTCTTGCTGCACTGCCCATCCTGTTCCAAATACAACTGCTTAAAACCTCCTAGCTGCTGCTTGAACCKTATTGCTCTCAGATTTAATGTCTGATGACTTACAAAGTGCACAGTGACAMTTTCAAGCTCTTGCTTCTTTCTGCTGCCACTTTTTTCTGGTCTTTCTCTCACTTCAGTCTTTCTCTGTTCCCCCAACTCTTCTTTTCAGTGACGGGCAGGTATCAATTCTACATTTTGCGTGGCACAGAGCACAATCAATAAGGGCATGCTGAGTAGTCAAGATTGATTTTTATGTACCTTAAAGGCCCCTTCACCCTTTTCAGACTGAGCATGCCATTGACACTGCAAGATACCTTAGAATGATAGGGATAGTTTTAATGTAAAAGGGAGCTGGATGACAATGCTCTCCCAAGTTGTTGTAGTGTAGAGGTAGAGAAATTACTTTAGTTTTTCTTGTATCTTTTCAGAGGCAAWCCTGGGCTTGGAAGGTACAGTGTCTTCATCTGTCTCATCTCAGTGTTTCTGTACTTGCTGCCTTTGTCCCCCAATTCCTCAAATTCTGAGCATTATTTGTGGTCACAGCTGATTGATGTGAAATTTGCTGTCACCAGCAACTCAGTTTTGCCACGAAGTGTCATACTTTCTCCCCTGCATTATTCTTTTCTTGTGTGGCAGACCTGTGTAGMTTGGAGAAGGGCCACTGAGGAGCCATTCAAAAATTTGCTTTCAAACTGCAGAGGATGAYGTGCAGATAATTCCCTCTTGAGCCTTCCTAAGGTGATGCCTACACCAGTTTAAAACACTGCAGGATGGGGCTCTGTTCCGTCTCCAAAGGAGTGTTCCCCAGTCTGTGCTGCTCTTGCCTGCTGATTTTCAGCATGAAATCCCCATTGCATAGTTTCATTGCTGTCATTTTATGTAGACTACAGCAAGCAATTCCATCTCCTTCCTTTGCATCCCCCTTTGTGCTGTAACTCCATGTACCTTATGTACATTACTTGTTTCATATGCTGTTCAGTAAACCAGTTTAAATCTGTCCCAGATAAATAATGGTCAGAATTGCTTATCATGGGAAGGTCTCGGCACAAATGATTGCTGGTGCAGGCAAAGATGTAGTTGGGTTTTTTCCCTTTCCTAGAAGGCAGTCATGATAACAGTTGGTTCCCATTGCTTTATTCACTGGCAGCCCAAGTAGAGAGCTCAAATTGAAGTAATTCCTCTTTACCCATGTATCCTGTCAGTGGCATGTGAGAAAAAGCAGATGCTTGGTAGTGAGCTACTTGCCGTGCTGTATCTGCAGTGTGGATAAATCATGGGCTTTGCTGTTCAGGGCATCTGGTCTGGAGCATTTTGTTAGTAGTAAATTCAGGCACAAACAAAATACTGTGCTGTTTAATTGCCAGCAAGACCTAAAATGACTCACTTTGTGTTGTTTTCTTTTWCTTCTTCCTCTGCAGCAACTATAATGGAGAGAGAGAAGAGGAAACAAGAAATAGAGAAAGGACTTCAATTCATTCAGTAAGTGGACAGCCTCAGTGTTCCCTGTGGATTTGGAGGCAGTTGTCTTTCTATTGAGGATTGCAGGAACTGAGGTTTTCCTATTCACTGCATGGGAAAGAGATACTGGTTCTGAGGATTTTCACTGTGATTTTTCAGGGTGTTTCTTGTCCTGCTAGCTCTCTAAACTTGAAATTCAGTATTTTCAGTATCCTTGGGTTTTGTCCTCCGCTGCAGTTCCACGATGATCTTTATAGTCAGCATAATGTTAATAGTACTTGGACCTTCTACATCATCTTCAGCATGAAGATCTCAAAGTGCTCTCAACAAGGTTATCCCATCTTTGTTAGAAGGGAGACAGTGTTTCAGTTCTGTAGGTGGAAAAACAAGGTACATAACTTGTTAGGTACCCCATATGGTGCATATAGGAAAAATAGATGACCTGGCCTGTTTTACAGTTGCCAACTTGGTAGATGTCTCAGATCACTCTTCTGTGAATATCATGTGGCCTTGTAGAGCTTGAAGTGGGTAGAGTTTGCTTAGGTAGCTACAAATCCAAGTTCTTTATAAAATACAGTAGTATTTCCCCTTCCAGTGTTTGAGTTAGAACGGGCCTCAAACTCAGGTCCAAGTTCTGTGGTGAGTAGGGAACTAATAAGATTGTAATCGGATTGGTTTGGGTTTTTTAAGGTCTTCTTTGAATTCTAAAATTRTTATACCTGAAATCTGTGTCTCTATAGCAGGACACCCCCACTCCAAATCTTCTATGTTACATATTTGTACCCTGTAGTATGGCCATGATATTTTCATCCCAGTCTGAGACTAAATGGGGCTGATAACCCAGTTTCAGATATATCATTGTGACGTTTATTCGGGTAGCACTTACAAAAATGCACAAGATTCTGGGGAAAARAAAATTTAGAAATATGAGGTCTAGTTTGTGTATCTGGGGTGTATCTTGCACTCTGAACCAGGAGCAGTGCTGTATGTCGGTTTATTTTGATATGAAAGTGGTAGTCCAAATTTATAAGCAGCATGAATGTTTCTTACAAAGCTATGACATTTCCTGTACTTAGTTTTAAGGAGTGATAAGATGAAATCTAAAAAATGTTTATTTTGTAACCAATAAGATGATGTATGCACTGTAGGTGAGAAAGGCTATGAAAGGTGCTAAGGATTCCTCTAGAGCCTATTGATTTGTCCTTGAAGAAAAAAAAATAAATAAACGTGGACCAGGCGTGGATGAATTGGGTGGTCCRCTTTGAAGAACAGAACCTTTCTCTTAAGTGTCAGTACTGTTGTTGGGTAGGTGTTATCCATACAAGCACTGACAGTGTTGTGGTGCAACCTTGGCCAAGAGAGTTGGAGTTAAATGGTCTCCTGAACCTGCATTGTTTTCTCCCTTCCTTTTGTTGGATGGCCCTAAAGGCATGTGGCTAAGTTAAGGCAGAGAAAAGTGATTGCACTTATCTCTGTATGTCTCTAGTATCATAAAGGATTTGAGGAGATCTTGGAGTGCCACTCTGGTGCCTCTCATTAGAGCCAGATGCACAAAAAATATGCCTGTATTCTTCATGGCAGTCTCTCATAGGACTTTATTAAAGATGGGTTTTTTATTTGACTGTCTGAAGGCACATTACAGAGGGTCCTTTATGCACAGAAAATAAATAAGACTCCTCTAATCTCAAGTCCCTCTGAGACTTGACCATCATTTGACATCACTATGACCGTCACTGAGCATGATGACCCCTAACTGTGTTCTCTTTGCCTCAGCTGCCTTTGCAGTGATAAAAGGCTCAGTAACTCACTGAGATCATCAAAAGAAGACTAGAAAAATGATCTCTTCATTGGACAAAAGCCCTTGGTTGCATGGATGCCTGTTTCATGAGTATTTTCTCTTCTTTTTTTTCAGGTCCACATTACCCCTAAGCCAAGAAGATTATGAGGTAATGGAGATTTTGTTTGTTGAAGCTGGGAGCCCTCTAGTTAGCAAGATTTGTTCTGTTGTGCAGCCATTAGTTTGCATACCAAAAGTGAAGAATGTGGGATGGTATGGCACCCTATGACTTAAAATTTTAAGGTTCTGACAGTAAGAACTTTCTGGGAAAGGAAAAGACACTTAATGTTCAAGCAGAATCTGGATTTTACTGAATTGTTCTCCTCTGCCAAAAAGTCTGATGTTTTACAGGTGGGTGGGGAGGCAAGACTGTCTTAGTGGGCGAGAAGTTTGCTAAAACATATGGAAAAAAAAGGGAAATTGGGAAGTCTCCCCTATCTCTGAATATCCTCTTGAGTCTTATTTGTTGTCTCCCTGCTGCCCAGGCCTTTTTGCAGAAGCTGGTGAGAAACTTGTTTGCAGAGGGCAATGATTTGTTCCAGGAGAAGGATTTCAAGCTTTCCCTGGTACAGTACGTAGAAGGGCTGAATGTGGCAGATTACGCAGCCTCTGATGAGGTGACCATCCCAAAGGAACTCCTCTGCAAGCTACATGTCAACCGAGCTGCCTGCTACTTTGCCATGGTGAGTGTCTTCCCAAGTCATCCCCAGGAGCGAGGGGGTCATCATGGTTGCAGTGCTGTGCAGTTGGAAAAGATGTCAAGAGGGGTTTGATTTTGTTTTTGCTTTCTCCCTGTTCAAACACTGGAGGAGATGGCAATACACAAAAAATATGTATTGTCAAAAATCTGATATCTCTTCACTATTGCACTGTGTCTTGTGAGACCAGAGGAAGGATGTGAAGAAGGGGGGACAGGCCTAAGGTACTGACAATGCAGTTCTGGTCCACACTGGTGGGGAATTAGTACTATCCAATGTCCTCGGGTACAGAGCGAGTGTTTCTCTGGAATACTGTTTGAATATTGCTCTGAAAGCTCTTTCCTCCTCATATGAGACACTGGAAGACAGTAGGAAGGCTTTGGGTCTTGAAGGAACTTGCAGTACCTACATGGAAAAGGATTCTGAAATACTCAGGCTCTAAAAGGCTGCATGCTTCCATTTTACTAAGGCATATAACAGCTTTCCTTTATGGCACAACCCAAAGCAGGCCCATCCTGTTTGTAATGACACTGATTCCCTGAAAATTAGCAAGCAGTCACATAATTAAAGACTTTCAAGTGTAACGTGCCCAAGGTAGAGGGGGAGACAGGATAAAGTTGCTCAAGCAGCCTTACTTCTATCACTCATTGACTTTGAAGTGTTTTGAGTTTTGCAAGATTTAACAAAATGTTCTATTAATGTAGGTGTGTTTGCACACTGGTCTGTGCATGAGGTAACATACGTACTCTCACCTGCCATTTGTATTCCAGTTTTCTGCTGAGATATAGAACATTTGCTTTTGCAGAGAAGTTGTTAGTCTCAGCTGACTCTAGGTGGTCTCTTCCATGCAGGGGTTGTATGAGAAGGCACTGGAAGACAGCGAGAAGGCTTTAAGTCTTGACAAGGAGAACATCCGAGCGCTATTCCGGAAAGCCCGTTCCTTAAATGAACTTGGAAGACACAAAGAAGCATATGAGTGCAATAGCAGATGCTTGCTSTCCCTCCCACATGTAAGTTTTTGAYATACAACTCATCTTGGGTTTTGTGGCTCCCAACCTTCCTCTCTCAATATGCTTGGTGTGTGGCCAGAGGACAGTAGAAGAGGAAGCTTGGCTATTCCTAAGAACATACTAATGCCCAGAAATTCYGCCTCTCTGACTCAAAGATGTTTGTCCTCAGCAACAGGGTTAGAAATGGACCTGTTTCTTCAGGCCAAGTCACCTCTTGCAGATATTGCCAGCCAGAGACACCRGTTAGTGACAGCAGGTTCGTGATCTGTTTGTGAAGAGCAAGCCCCTACCCTAACAAAAGGTGAACTAAGGCTGTGAGAATGTTTTAATTGGCTGCTTTTGTGTCTCTAATGGGAGTGACTAGGAGCATGCGRCAAATGGGAACTGGAGCTCTGGAAGGAAAACATTATGGTTTTCCTGTTTTGGATAAAAATGTCTCACATTTCACTTACTGATTGCTAAGGTAAAATGATCAAGCTTTTTATTTCTTGAGGAACATGCAAAGGTGTCCTTGACATCACATGTCACAGTTACTTTTATATTCACAGGTGTGTAAATTTTTGCATGCAAATGGGATTATCTGCACTTACTAGGAACTAAATATTTTCTTAATAGTGCTTTTGTTGAGCATCCTCTTAGGCCAAATACTGGACAGGAAACCAGACTGTGATTACATGGATTCTGGTGAGCAGTGTGCTAATTTTGGTTCTGATCCATCACAGTAATGCTGTACAAGAAAAATGCATCCACCTCAGCAGAAGTTAACTTTCCTTAATTGTGAGCATTAGAGAAGTAATCTTTGAAAGCATTGTTAGCAATTAGTTATTGCTTTTATATAGATTGTAAGTTCTAGTTTCTTTGACTTGGCAGAACAGGGTGATCAAAATAAATCAAAGGTATCATGCTTGGAACTGTTTTCTTAAAGGAACTGTTTTTTAAACAAACCCTTTGATTAACAAAAGCATCTAATGTATGTGTTCTTGTAAAGGCATATCTGGCTATATTTTACATTGTAGTCAAGCCATTTAATGTAATTTATATTTTAACAACATAATTATGGTTACATAGCTCCCATTATTATTTTTACAATCATTGTGGTCTACAGACACGTTATCAAACTTCTCTGTGGTAGGAGAGTTCAGCCTAAAAAACTCCATATTGAGTCATGTGTAGTCCCTATTCTAAATAATTCAGTCTTATAAATAACACACCCCATTGTCTTCTTACCTGCTTAACAGAGATTATAAACCTTCTCCCCATCAAAGGCAAGCGATGCTATCCATCATTTTACTCTTGTTTCCATTACCCTCYGGATCACATGAGTACTTCCATCTTGCGTTGCTGTAATTGCTGAGAACTTTGTTGTGGCCAAAACAGAGCCTATCTTAAAACTTCTGGTGATGAAGGATCTACCACTCATTTGGCTCACTGTCTAGTAGAGTTACCTCATTTCTGGGTGCAAATAATCAGTGCTGCTAGTTTGCAGAAGTTTTCATAATGGTGAAGTTAATACTCCTCTGTGGTATGCTTTTTTTCTTTTTTTTTTTTTTTTTGGTAGGTGCTGTGATTCTCTGATTCTGTGGTTCTGTGGTCAGGTCTTCATCCTTAGGAGACTGCTTGGGTGTTTGGAAGTCGGATTTTTTTTTTTTTTTTTTTTTTTTTTTTGGTATGGCGTGGGGTGTTTTAGAAGAGGAAATGCACAAGCTGGATTTTGTTTTCACTGAGTTTAGTGAAGATGGTGACAAGACTAATGCTGAGGATGTGGGGGAGTGAGTACACTCAAAGAATGGCACTCCAAATTGAAGGGAAAGTTACTGAGATGGTGGGCTTTAAGAACCAGAGGCTTCTAAGCTGTTGAAAGGAAAAGGACTCAGCCTGCAGGGAGAAGATTAGAAGGACCAGCATGGCAGGTAGAGAGAAGCTTTAAGCTTGAAGATGAGGGAGGACATGTTGGAACATTAAGGATGTCTATAACAATAGGTTGGGCAGATACTTTTTATTTTGAAAAGACTGTTGAAGTACTCTGGTATTTTTGCAATTGGAGAGGGAGAAAACAGAAGGAATCAGTTGCTGGTGATATATAAGTGTGGAAGACTGTGGCAGGTAGTCAGTCTGGGCAGAAAGCCCATGATGCTGTCTAAGTGGGCATGAGCACTGGGCATGGAAGATGGTAAATGCCACACAATAGGGAAAGCTGAAGGATCTGCTTGACTATGCTGAGGGAGTTTAAGTGGAGCTGGAGGCAGTCAAAATGCCTTCTAGCTAGTAAGTTGAAAACTGAGACTTGGTTTCAGCTTTAAAAACAAACAAACAAAACAGGCTAATGAGTACAGTCTGCATATCAAAACTGATTATTAACTCTGCAGCTGACAAGGAGGGAAGACATGCAGGCTCTTTCCCAGGCAKGGAGACCTTGCGGAAGCTGTATCAGCAGCCAGCCTTGGCAGCTCCTTCAGCCAACTTGCCAGCGGGACTCATGAACCCTGTTTTCGTGGAGTGGGTACTTTGTTGGAAGCAGATATTTGATTCTGATTTTCTGCAGCATTGAATGAGTGCTGAGCTCCTAGTGCAACTGCAGCATCTTGGCAGGACTGAATGACAAGAACACTGAGATCTTCCTGCACTCTCCTGGGGCTGCTCTGGAAATTATCTACCTGCTGCTGTCTAAAGTTGAGGCTTCTTGGTGCAACCYAGCGTGCATAACTGCATTCTTCTTTATTTCATTCTGTGTGGTACGAAGGCAATACTGAAAGTGTCCTGTCAATGGTTTCAATCCCCAGGATGAAAGCGTCACACAGCTGGGACAGGAGCTTGCCCAGAAGCTGGGACTGCGGGTTCGAAAAGCATACAAAAGACCTCAGGTATGACTTATTTTGTCTTAGAGGCTGTTCTTTGCTTGTGCAGGTTTACTTTTGCAGAAGTGGTAGGTGCTGCTCTGCAGTTCCATAGTGTGCACAACTTTGCAAACTCTTTAGCAGGCTGCTGGCAACCCTCCTTTTCCTGACCCTCTGACTCACTTTGGATTGATCCATTTCTAACCCTGTTGCTGCTGTATCGGCTGCCAGGATGTTTTCTGAGTCCCCAGCTGAGCCAGGCTGGTGCTGCGGCAGAAACTTCGGTGCAGTAGGCGCATGTGTTTTTCACAGGGGAGGGGTATGTGACCTGATCCCAAAGCAGCTTTTGCATCACAGTCCTCTCTCTCTTAAGGGATGAGAAGGGTGGGATCTTGTGCTGCATTGGAGGCATGGCTGGTTTTGTAGTGCAGTGGGTCATGAAGGTTCCTGCCCCATTTCTAGGCCTACACTTCTTTGTGATAGGGAAGAGGGTTGTGCTGTGGGAGAACAACAGGGACACACGCCTGACGCCAGTGACTGGATCCRTAACTTGGCTCTACACGAAGTGCTCCTGTGACTGGAGTACTGTAGGTKTTCGAATGTGTATCCTGGGATGTAGCTAGAGGGCGTCAGGCCACTGCTAGCCATAAAGCTGCCTTGGTCACGGATTTTGTTCTCAGGAGCAGAGAGCATGARCTAATAGTGGAGGCTGACATTCGCGTTTGCATCCTCGGCCCCGCGCGGCGGTGTTGTTAAACAAACAGCATGTTCCGCTTCCAGAGGGGCGCCTCTGTAGCGTGAGGTGGAGTGATTGGTGGGCGTCCAGTTTGCAGAGAGCTTTTGGGGTAAATCTAACTGTAACATGTTAATCCTCTCCCCAACAAACCTCATGTGTGCCTGCCATAAAAAAACTCGTTGATCTTATAGAGGCTCTGAACACTCCCAAATGATTCTGTCTCAAAGAAAGGGAAGTTTATGCAGAAATACTTTTGTAGCAGTTCACTGTTTGGCCTTGCCACATTTTTTGCTGGTGTCATGTTACTAGYCTGAGATGGGCTCAAACTACCTATATGTTAGAAATATAAAAGTTAAAATCTCAAAAATGCTTTCTATTATTTGAAATTTTGTGAYTGGTATTTTGATAACATTTTGCAATCTCTTGTGTTGAGTTTAATCTTTCATTCCAGTGCTGTAATGCCTTCCCTAAGTAGTMATTTCTTAATGAAAAGCAAACCCTCTGTTTCTCAAGGAAGTTTTCTGCCTCCTGGTTGTGGGTCAGATGTTCTGAAGTGTACAGAGCAATTTTATATCCCTTTTCAATGTTGACAAACCTGTACCCTTGGGTCACAGGGGAGTAACTTTTTGGGGTGGCTTTTATTTTTGGGCAGTGCTTGGAAGGGAACCCTACTGTAACCCAGATTTACCTAGATTATAACATTCACGGGCTGAATTCTGCTCTAAGACCTCTCTCTTCCTTGCAGCAGGAATTGGAAACATTCTCACTACTCAGTAATGGCATGTCAATCAATTCATCAAACCAGGTAGAGTTTGCATCCTGTGGTTGTTACTGTTTATAGATTATGCTGTTAAAATGCTTTAAAGTTTTATTTACATGCAAATTTATAACTATCTTATCAGTTTGAATTGTTTTATTTAATGTTTTCTGCTTTTAAGAAATATTGCCAAGARGTTAATTTCTTTGAAAATATTTCTGACAAATATTTGAAAATATTTCTACTGATACATAATTTTTTATGTCAGTAATTAGATCACTGAAGATGGTTATTTTTCTTAGTTATTGTGACTGTTTGCTTTCTCTTGCATTTTAAATAAATTTTTATTTTCAAGTTTTGCACTTCTAACAAGGAAAAGTAAGAAAGTGTAACTGTTGAGGAACGACACAGAATCAAATCCAGTGATATATTGAGCAAGATACATACACAGTTTATGTATTGTTTATATTGTCCTGGTAGATCTAGCTGGGTAGGGCAGTATACAAATACTAAGGTAAAATATAAGAAATTGCTGGTTTCCTTGTTCTACCCTGAGCAAAAAAAAAGCCCAACCCAACAAACAAGCACTTGCTGTTTTCACTGGCTGTTTGGTACTTGACAGTGCTCCTTAAAGAAAATAAACAATAAGACTGTAAATATTGTACTTTTGTGTCAGAAGATGGGATACTAAAGAATTCATTTACCTCTCACTGTTCAATGATTTGGCTTCACATGTTTCTAGGAAGGCAGTTGGCTTTCTTTAATAGTTATGCCTAGTTTTTAATTTGAAAATCCTTCCTTTTGTAAGAATTGAAAATAATGCAAAACCTGTTGTAGTAGATGCAATATCACAAGACAAATGCTTTACTTGTGTCTTTTTAAGCTTAAGCTAAAGGCATACATACATACTTACCTCTGTTTATGTTTCTGTAAAATATGGACTCAATTTATTCCTTGCCTTGAGCTCCAAGTCAGCAGTTGTCTTGGCAGAAACATTTTCCTGTTTTGAATTTGTTCGTGAAGTTTGTGGTTGTTAGATTGCAAAATATGTGAACTAAGAAAAGGAGCGTTGTGTAAGATCAGGCTAATGAGATCTCCCATGCAGTGGGCTGACCAACTGGTGTGTCTTGGGACTTGGAACATAGTGTTCTCATCCAYACAAGAAATACCCTATTCTATGCATGGCGTTGCACACGTGGTTGAATATTGTGCAGGCATGGGAGATTTTTCCAGCAAGAGTTTGTCTGCTGCTGAAGGTAAAAATGAATAGGTTCCTTGGATTAATGGYCTCCTAAAGTTCATTGGTTTTACTGTTCTAGCACAAAAAGAGGCCATAAAGGAAAAGAAAGGGTCATGTACATTTGGGAGTAGTAAAGATTCATCTGTGAAGTGTGAATGTCTGTTTAAAGATTAATTTCTCACAATATTTTTCCTCTCCCTTTTCCTACATCCTCTTTGCAGACTACTTCCATTGGATTGGGCTCGATAGATGACATTGAAACAGGTAAAGATACCTCCCTCCTCAGATTTTAGTGGCTTCAGTATGGTACATGACCAGGCTGGCAGGCTTGAGAGGTTCATCACCTGCATTTGTGTCTCTTCTGCGCACTCTTGACTTTGGTAACTAGGAGAAGGAAAAAGTGCTGCAAAGTGGTGCAAGGAGTGCATCTCTTGCAAAAACAGCTTTTTGTCCAGGCCCAGTGAGAGATGCGTCTGGGAATTAAAAGGGTCTGCTGAGGTACACAGCTCTCTTCAGTTGTGTTTTCTCAAAGCTGCACTTGGCAAAGCTTCTGAAACTCTRCTCCAAGCCAAAACAGTCAAGATAAAGTGAAGTTAAGGTTGCTTGTGCTCTGAGTGCAGGTGGTCCTCCAAAACATTGAGGTGGAAGAATTGAAAACAAAAGGAATTGGGGGGGACCCAGAGAGCCCCGAATTCAGGGTTGGGTACCCAGGAGAAGAAGGAATACTAACAGGGTTGCTTTTCTCATGCTTGACAAGTGATCTTAGCTCTGCCCCTGTACAAAGGCTTGCTACCTTATGTGCTGGAGCACTGAACTTGTGCCTCTGAGCACATCAGACTTTGTTCCTTTTTAAGGTAGCACTGCGTGTGAAGGTAGGTGTGAAGACTARCTACCACAAGTAGGAACTGCTCTTWCTATAGAAAGAAGTTAATTTCATTATTAGGGTACTTTGGAAAGCATGTTAGTTCTCTGTTCAATGCCTATTCAGTATCTGATTGCTACATGAGATCATGAGACCCAGTTCTGTGAATTAAGGAGTTTTTCACATTAACTTGCTGTGCTAAAATGAGCTGGACTCCTATTACAGAGTAAAGAATGACTGCATCCAGTAAGCTTTTCTTCTAATGTGGATTTGGTGTAACAGCAGCATGTCACCTTTTCTGCAGATCAGGCAGACAGAGCCTTTACTGCAAGGAAATCTTGGCAAAAGCACTGGAATTATGTATTATCCCATTGCCCYGAGAATGGTGTGCCACCAGGAGGGCTGGGGGATGGGTACCCTGAGAGTTTCAGATTCAGATTATTTTAGCAAGGTTTTGGGGATTTTTGGGGTTTTTTTTTTGGTTTTTTTTTGTTTTGTTTTTTTGTGTTCTTCTGTTTAAAGATGCAAATTCTTGAAGTCCTTTCCTCCATGTTTTACTTGAAGTCATGTGATTAACTCAACCCAGTTCTGCAGAGAGATCACAGGTCAGATCTAGCTCAGTGTGGCTATCGSCCAGCTAATGCACTGGGGAACTACTGCAGTTTTTGGGAAGTGGAGCTATAAACAGTRCTTTTAAAAGCTCTGTACTTGCCCCTCGGGGACTGGCAGGTGTATGGTCAGAGAAGCTACCAGCTGGAGGGGCTTGGTATGAGAGACTTGGTTGATGGGAGTGTATGGGCAAGGYCTTCACTGAGCTTATAATAAAATGTGGGGCTGAGTGTCATGGCAGTGGTAGAAATTAGTAGGTGTGGGTGTGCCTGTGAGCTACTCATCAAAGATTCTTTTAAGATGGACAGACATTAGGGGAATGCAGAAGATGCATGAGCATTCTGTCAGGAGAGTATGTGTGGGCATTGCASCTGGTGGGTCCTGAGGAAAGCAGGAATGGGAAAGAAGAGATAGGAAAAGAGATTGGACAGAGTAGAGTGGGAGGAAGTGGCTGAAAGAATGACAGGGTTTGGGTGGTCAGAGAGAGGGGAGGTGGCATCTTCCCTCTGCCACATGCAAAGTGGCAACCTGTTGATCCCTGCTCTTCTCCTTGCCCTTCACATGCTTTGAGCTGTGGGGGATCCCATGTTATTCTTTGACTTTTGGTCATGCATTCAGCTTTTCTGGGTCTGGGGCCTCTTAGGGTGTGTGAGTGCCTCTTTTCTTTGCTTCCCAGTCTGAGAGGAAAATGCAGGGCCTCCCTGATTCTTCAGAGAAAGTCTGAACTGCTGGATCCTTTGGGGCCCTGTCATTGTGCACCGTTTTGCTCCCCGCTGCACGTTTTCCCATCCCTTCCGGCATGTTCTAAATTTCTTGTTGGCCTCTGCAGGGATCTTGACAGTATTCCAGATTTAAACATCTGAAAAATGGGAAGGCACAAGCCATCCCTTTGTACTGCMGGGAATCTGGCCGAGCTTCCACCCATGAGGGAAGCTGGATGTCTGGCTCCCTGGCAGCTGGAGATTCTGCACCAAAGGGAGGTGACATGAGAGAAGTCATCGCAAAGGAGGCATGGGGTTGGAGCTGAGCCTGATTGGTGGGGTGGCTGCAAAACTAAGGACATGCACAGCCTTCCTTTGAGCTGCCTGTAGAAAATGTGTTCAGCTGCAGCACTGAAATCCTTCCATAAGGTACAACACGTGCTTTCCTTCAATGGCATGCTTGAGGATGTGGAGAGGGACCTGTGTCTTCCTTTGCCACTTGCCCTGCTTTCCTTGTCTTTTGTCATGGCTCAGCYTCCAGTGTCTTCCACAGTGATCTTTGCTGTGGTCCATCCACGTGGAGCACTCACAACATACACTGGAGGAAARGTTACAGGGGTTGGTGCTGCACTCCTGGTGGGTCTAAAGGGGGCATGTCTGTATGTGTCATCTCTTCTGTTTTGTTCAGGACTTGGGGGTTTGTTGGAATTGTTAGTTTGCTGAGCTCTCTAAGAAAGGCACCGGTATATTCCTGGGCCAAGGAACGTGTCTGCATGTAATGTGCAGACAGTAATAGAGCTCACTTGCCCAGTCCCTGATGGAAAGGGATGGTCAAATTGTCGTGGGGGCTGAGTGAACAGACAGTATGCAGCATTGCTTGCTGGATCAAGTTTTGTGTCTCTGAAGCTTGTCTAGTTTCTTTCGCAATCTTATCAGTCTTTCTAATAAAAAWTATTGTCTTTTCTTTCAAACTTTGCCTTGCTTTTATAGCCTTAGTCTGTCGCAGCTACAGTGCAGCCAATGGGATGTGGGTGGAGAAGGTAGCATCTTTGTCTTATTTATTTTCTTTTATTCCAGGACATCTTCACAGGGGCAGAATTAAGGTAGTTTGGGTGCTTGGTTTGAGAGCTGCAAATGTAATGCTGCATTTTCCAAATTTCTAACATTTGAACTTTTTTTAACCCTTTTTTTTTTTTTTAAGAATAAAATGCTCTTCTGTGAAAAATATCGCTTGCAACTTTAACGTCACTTAACAGAGGTTTATATTGCATGATGGGAACATCTTACTAGTTCAGTAATGTACTGGAGAGGGGAAGAAGCCTTAGGGAAAATCACTGCTTTTTTTCTGCCTTGACCCTGCYTCACATGAGTTCCCAAGGGGATGTTTGCTGCTCAGATGTTGAGGGGGTAAATGGACAGCAACCTTCCACATGTGGGTGTCAAGAAGGACTGAAGAGCAGGGAATTTACTTTGGTAAAGACAGCTAAGTGAGTCTGATGGGGATTTTTGGGACACATTGTTAGCGCAACCTGATCTGTACACTCAATCTCTGACTTTCTTCCCAACAGGGCCTTGTGTTTTTTATCTTCTTCCATTTAAGATGCCTGGGTTTTTAGAGAGGACATGCAAGTAAGCAGGCTTTCAGCTGGGATATCAAAGCTCCAAGGAGCAGAGAAAGCAGTGATMTCTGCCAAGTGCATTAGTGAGGAACATTAAGGATAACACCTGCTGCATGTGCTTGCCAAATCCTGACAGTCAGACTGGGCACTGGCCCTTAGAATGTATTTCAGCTATTGGCAAGCCATTGGAGACGGGGAACAAAAATGAAAGGGCAAGTACTCTTCAGACTAGAGCCTCTCTTCTCATAAAATTGGCATCCTTGGCTTTTGTGAGTTGTACAGTATTGGTTTTACCAAGTTGTGCTATTTTCCTGGTGATTAGCTCTGTTTCTCTCTCATCACAGACTGCTCTGTGGACCCGCAGTGCCTCCCAGCTCCTGTGGCCACCTCCATCCCTGTGAATGAGGGGCTGTCCCCTTTGTCCTCTGACTCAGATGCAAAGGGCTTGCCCACGTCACTTCCTGCTGCCAGCTTGCTCCCATCTCCAGACTGTGTACCCTTGCCTGAGAATGTGGAGGACTTCACAGATGGGGACATCATTGGGGAAGAACTAGACTCTCTCCTGGATTCCCTTGCCGAAGGGTCATCATACCCTCTAGTAAGAGTGGGCACTGCATGGGTCCCCTGCTTCTTTGTTCCAAATAGATTCTTGGAGGATGAGGATGTACATGCTGCCTCTCTCTCTCTGTAATTGTTTTCTCCTCTCTCTTCCTCTGGCAAAACTCATTCTTTCTTTTCTTTATTTCTGCTACTGTGAGTATATTAAGAGTCCTCCTCCAAGCCTGCTTTGCTGTGTGCAGCTTGTGGAAGCTGCCTCTCAAAAGATATCCAAGGTAGCCTTTCCCCTGACATCTCCTTCCACCTGGYCTCTCTTGTTCGTGAAGTTAAAGCAAGTCTGAGAGAAGAAATGAGTGTGGTGAAGCAGGAATGATGGATGTATTTTATACAGTGGGCATGCTCTAATTTCCTTACATTTTGTGCAGGTTGCACTCAGCCTAAGCACTTTGAACAGGTCTGGGAGTGGCAGAGACAATCTGTATTCATACTTACGTTGGATTTTAGTTGCCAGTGTTGCTGATGTTATGAGACACCTTGTGTCTGGAGGCAATATAGTGATKATCATGTTGGATGCCTCTTGAGCCAAAAAAGTCTTGCTGAGAAGTACTGAGTCATGATCATTATCCTGACCTCGGCACTGTGTGTACTCAGCTGCATCATTTCTTGACCTGAGCTGGTTTAAGTGCCCAGCACAGGGCACTGCCTTGCAGACTGGTGAACTCAGGTATCCCAACATCTCCTCAGGGATCCTGGTCCAGACTGTTTGCAGTACAGAAAAATTGGAAAGTCTGTGGCAAGTCTGCAGGTGGATTGAGCTGCCAGCTATCCTTTTGCCTCAGCTAGTACAGCATGCCTGTCAATGGGAGTCCGTTACTCTCTGTTGTCATAGTTTGATCCCAGTCAGCAACTAAGTACCAGACAGTTGCTCACTCACTTTCTTCCTGCCCCTTCTCCAGCGAGGAGGATAATATAAAAAACTTCAAACTTGTGGCTTAAGATAAGAACAATTAAATCATTAAAACAAAATAAAATACAATAATAACAACAGTACTAATAGAAAAGGAAAGACAGGGAGGAATAAAACCCAAGAGAAACAAGTGATGCCCAATACGATGGCTCACTACTTGCTGACCAATGCCCAGCCTTCTCTGAGCAGCAATTRATGACTCCTGACCAACTCCCCCCAGTTTATATTCTGGGCATGATGTTCTATGATATGAAATATCCCTTTGGCTTGTTCAGATCAGCTGTCCTGGCTGTGCTCTCCCCAGTCTTCTTGTGCATCTGCTCACTGGCAGAGCATGGGAAACTGAAAAGTCCTTGACTTAGAGTAAGCACAAGTTAGCAATAACCAAAACATCAGTATGCTAAGATTATATATAACATATATAYAACGTATAACGTTCTCATGCTAAATCCAAAACACAGCACTGTACCAGCTACTAAGAAGAAAATTAACTCTATACCAGCCAAAACCATGACATCTGTTTCCAGTCTCTGCTCCTCATTACTAATTTGCTATTTATCCTCCTTCTTGCTCCCCTGAAGTCTCTGGTCCAGGGCACCATTCCTACCAACCTGCCAACAGAGATGCCCCAGTTGATTCCTGTGTTTCCGGGGGGAACTCCGCTGCTGCCTCCAGTTGTGACAGCCAGCATCCCTGTCTCCACTCCTCTGCCACCTGCCTCCTTTGGCCTGGTGATGGATCCCACCAAGCAGCTCTCCTCCTCCTCTGTCCTGGATGCCTTCGAGGCCCCACCAGGAGGAAGTGGCAGCTCCACTTTAGATTCCCTGGATTCCTTGGATCTGCTTTCATACACAGATACACGGCTCGATGCCCTGGACTCCTTTGGGACAAGCAGGGGATCGCTGGATACCTTGGATTCCTTTGCCATTGGTAGGTGTGGGGTGATGAGGTTTGGTTTTGCCTTAGCTGTGAATGCAATCCAAAATTATTTCCTTCAGTGCTGAGGACATCTGTCTTGTAGCTTGTCTGCTGGTGTGGCAGAACAGGAATATATATGTAGAAGCGGGCAGGGAATGGTCTCGGACAGAGTAATTGATGATGTTTAGCTCAAAAGTAATAAGAAAAGTTGTATGTGTGTAATCCCAGATAACTAGTATGTGCATGGAGTGAAATCTAAAGAGGAGAAAGGAACACAGAGGTGTATAATGATGAATTACGAGATTTAAACCTGGCTTGGTGTCCAGAACATCTCCCCTGGCACAATTTGCTGTACTATAGCATGACACCATAAGCCTCGTCCTCCATGACTCTTTGACATTTTGCACAAGGTGAGCAGAATAGTGATGACCTTTTTAGATGATGTAGGACTTCGTTGTGCTGGRCAGAATGGTGGAGACCAAGGTAGATCTTTCCCATCTCTGGATTCAGAGCAATGAGTGTCTTCTTGAATGGGGCTCTGCACTCTCATGTCACAAGGAGAAAAGCTGTGGAGGATGGTGGGCAAAGACTCAAGAGTCCACCTGTTCAGGAGGGAGCTGGGCTTCTTCTTGGTTAACTTGTTCCCAGTATTGTGGTATATTGGCAGCAAAAGTATTTTGAGAACAGCAGATATTGGCCAGTCAGCACTTGAACACTCACATTCACCTCAGCTTTGGGTTGACACCTTAGGAATGCTGATGCTCAGCAGCACAGAGTTGGGCTCAGTAGGATTTCTGAGAATAGAAGGCCTTTCCTGGAGCTTTTCAAAGTCTAGACAGATGCTTTGGGAAGAAAGTATTATAACATTGTGAAATAAATAAAGCAAATTCATTTAATAAGCTTTTGTTTGTCCTTTTGTGAGTAGAACTGCTTCTGAGAGTGAAAATTATTCTTTTTGTTTTGTGGGGCTCTTTTCCCCTTCTTTTGCCCAGAAGAAACTAGCTCTCAGGAACTGCGACACCCACCTGGCAGCCAAAAACCAGCCCCAGTGGTGAGTGAGCTACTGCCCCATGCTGATGTCCCAGAGTGCTCTGGAGCCAAGGTAGTAGTGACTTGGGTGATGTAGGTAATTTGGGTCTCTCTTCTTACTCTGCCGTGGTGAATGTTGCCTGTCATGTTGTGGCAAGGCAGGTAAAGATTCCCCCAAAGTCAGTAGGAAGACATTTGTTCCATTCTTGTTTTTATCTGTAACTGAGTTACAGATAAATAACAGATAAATAAAAAGTGTGTTACAGATAAATTAYCATTGCCAAGGTAATGGTGTGACCAACATCATAGGGTCAACAGGGRATCATGGAGGCCAGTGTCTCATTCAGCGTCACATAATGCTGAAGGATGGGCAGAGTAAGGCAACTTTGACTTCAGGCCACTGGAGTTCATTGCTGCTCTCTGCCCCTGTGAGGAGGCTTCTCCAGATGTTCTGCCTCTGTCCTATGTCTCCAGTCTTGGAGAAAAAGAGGAGGAAGCTTGGAACAAAAGTTAATCTTGAAATCCTGTCACCTGCTGGCCCTATTAACATCAATGTGAATATCCCTGAAGATTGACTGATAAGCAGTTGTTTTTTCCTCAGGTTGGGATAAGGTTGATTTAAAAGTCTTTCATTGTGGATCAGGTTGTGATAGAAGGGATGGAAAGGAGCAAGGGGGACATTTTGTTCCGTGGCTCATGATAAAAAACTAAGGTCTCTAACCAGTAGGGCAAGAGGGCTGTCTTTGAAGCAAACATATCACAGTGTTCATTCTGTTTGAAAAAGTTGCATGCATCTCTTCTGGAAATGTCATTTCAGATGTGAACATTTTGATGAGAGAGGAAATGAGAAAGATTTTGAGAGACTGGAGCAGGGCAGGGGGTTAGAGAGGTTTCTTGCCCTCTTGTGGTTGCAGAGCTGAACAGAGAGGTACGTATGTTTTCACTCAGGTCAGCCTTGGTGGAGTGAGTCACTCAGCTGTGCCCAAGGCCACCGAGCACCTGCTGTCCCAGCCAGAACCAGTAATGCCCAACACGGCCCTGCTGGTGAAGAACCCCCTTGCATCTACTCATGTTTTCAAACAAGCCTGTCATATCTGCTACCCCAAAACAGGTGATGCATTTGCTCTGCCACCAGAGCACTGGCACAGACTAGGAACTGGTCTTCCCCAGGCTAATGGGGTTATTCTCTCTGGCAGGGCCCAAGGCTGGTGATTACACCTATCGGGAAGGCTTGGAGCACAAGTGCAAGCGGGACATCCTCCTGGGCAGGCTGAAGAACTCAGAAGACAAGACCTGGAAGAGGATCCGTCCCCGCCCAACCAAAACCAACTTTGTAGGATCCTATTATCTCTGCAAAGGTGATCTGTGGTAGTTGGTTGCCAGAAAGGGGCTGTGCCAGGGAGACAGGGAGGGAAATCTGTTYGATATTGCCTGCTGGCTGTAGGGTCTCCTGTGCCTTCAGTAGCCTCTGGACTGGATGGCTCAGTACAGTGAAGGGCAATGGGCTGCCATACTGTGGAGAGCAGGCAGCTTCTAAAGCTGGTGGAGCAAAAGTGTTCCGAAGGCTCGGTGAGGTGCTGCACACAGTCAAGCGCTCAGAGCTCTCTGCTGACATGGGTTTTACTGAGAATCTGCCTCCTGTGCACATGCTCACATTAGTTCCACTCAACCCAACTGCCCCACGGTAGGGCTGTTCTGCCTAGGGAAAAGCATTCTCTGCCTGCTCCTTTGCTCCAGCACATCCCATCATATGTGCAGGCACTGTGACCCCCTTGTGAGGCATGGGCAGTGGGAGGAGACAAGAGAGAGTTYAGTTTCTGACTGGGCCGCCCTGCCTGTGTGGTGGTGTGTGCTGTTTGTTGCTTTGTAGATATGCTTAACAAGCAGGACTGTAAGTACGGGGATAACTGCACCTTCGCGTACCACCAGGAAGAGATCGACGTGTGGACGGAGGAGAGGAAGGGGACCCTCAACCGTGACCTCCTCTTTGACCCGCTAGGTGGGATCAAGCAGAGCAGCCTCACAATTGCCAAGCTCCTCAAGGAACATCAGGGCATCTTCACCTTCCTCTGTGAGGTACAGAACTGGTGGGAGACGGCAGGCATCCATCATCTCTTCCGTGTGTATCTGGACCACTGATACGTTGATAGTTGCTACCACAAAAATATAATGGGATGACTTGCACAGCTGGAGTGCTGCAATGGATGGCTGTAAACTCCCTCAGGAGGGATCGATGAGGAAGGAGAGGCAGTGGGGGAGCCCTGTGTGTTAAGGGAGTATTTTGACTGTCTAGAGTTTAAGGAGGGTGACAATAGGTTTGAGTGGTTATTGATAAGAACTGGGGGGAAGGCCAACAAGGTGGGAGTCTGTTACAGACCACCCAATCAGGGTGAAGAGGCAGACAAAATATTCTATAGACAAATGGGAGAAGTCTCATAATTGTTGGTCCTTTTTCTTTTGGGGGACTTCAACTTGGCCAGTGTTTGCTGGAAGCATAACATAGCAGAGAGGAAACAGTTCAGGAGGTTCCTGGAATGCATGGAAGATAACTTCCTGACACAGCTGGTGAGGGAGGCAACTAGGGAAGGCATCTACTGGACATGTTGTTTGTGAACAGGACTGGTGGGTGATACGATGGTTGGAAGCCATCCTAGGCACAGTGATCATGCAATGATGGAGTTTCAGTTCTTAGAGAAATAGGGACAGGGGACAGCAGAACAGCCACCTTGCCATCTCACCTTCTGAAGGGCAGACTTTAGCCTGTTTAGGAAACTGGTTAACAGAGTCCCTTGGGAGGCAGTCCTGAAGGAAAAAGGAATCCAGGAAGGTTGGACATTSTTCTAGAAGGAAATCTTAAAGGTGCAGGAGCAGCCACCTATGACTCTGTATGTCCCAGCCAGTGCCCTGCTCCCTGAAGACAGTGGGCATTGTATGCAGCTCTGTAGGAGAAAGGAGTAGTTTCCGTCTTTAGCCCTGCAGCTGAACTAGGTTCTCACAGCTTCATGGGATTCCTGTCACTTCCTGTCACATGGAAGCCTGTCACTTCCTCTGTCTTGAGATGTTGCTTTGAATTGTAATTTAGCCCCAGTTACTTTAAAAATCAAAATTCCATAATGCAACAGATTCCCACTTGATGTCTGTGCAAAGCTACTGAGTTGGTGAGTTGGGGATTGTCTCATATCATCTTAATGCTCTGCAGCACATTGTTCCCCATGTTGGCAGTACATGTAAAGGGATGTGTTCTTTGCTGTGAAGTGGCTGTTCTTTTATTTCTTGCCATCATTTCTCCCTTGTTCTTGTTCTGTTGACTAGCAAGGAAAGAATATGCAGTTCTGACCAAAATTTTTCCAACCACAATGGAAAATACTGCTGAAAATAAGCCAAAAAATGTTGTCTGGAAGCTTTTCCAGAGATTCACTTGCTTTATTTTAAAACCCTACCACAAAGTTTTCACCAGACTTCTTTCAAACATTAAAATAGGCTGGCTCTGATTCTTCTTCCTCTTCCAAGTGAAGTGGCTCTGGTTCACTGCTCTCTAAGATTTTCCCTGTATGCTAATTCTTCTCTTCTCAGATTTGCTTTGACAGCAAACCCCGGATTATCAGCAAAGGGACCAAGGACACGCCATCTGTCTGTTCCAACCTTTCTGCAAAACACAGTTTCCATGACAACAAGTAAGTGAACAATTTTTTGTGCTGATGGGAACGATCTCTCACAAGTCCAGCCAGTTTAACTCCAGGCCTCTGGCTCTTTCTTCCTCTCCTCCCCATAGGTTCCAATCATAGGACAGCTCAAATAATTGTAAATAGCCCTGTGGGCTTTACCCTGCATGTTTGCTCCTGGTGCTTAGGAATTTCAGGCATCAGCAGAGCCCTTTGGAGTCAGTYTGTTAAGTTTTCCATTGACTTAATTTGCCTTTCAGTTTGCCCTTTACAAGATGGTCRAAACAAAGATCCTCTAGCTCAGGATCCTGCCTCGGACTGGTAATGAATATTTAGGAAAACAAGTGTAACAAACATGTCAAGTACATAGTGCGATTCCTTTCAGTTCTTGGCAACCTGAGACATAGGGACTTGCTGAGCCAGAGGAGTTGGTGTTTTTGTTGAGTATTTTGAAATGTGATTTTTGAACTTAAGCAGAGCATCACCCATGTGCTGAGGATGAAAATAACTGCAGGTCAAATAAAAATTGCTTGATAGGGTGGGAGGGCAGGGGTTTGCTTTTCCCAGGGGTAATCTGTCTCTCCCAGAGTTGATTTGCTTGTGTCCTTTGCCTGCCCAGTCAAATGTCTGGATGTCATGTAAGGAGGAGGTGGAGAGGGTTTGATTCTCTGGTGCTTCCAGGTGTCTGGTCCACATTGTTCGTTCCACCTCCCTGAAATATTCRAAGATACGTCAGTTCCAGGAGCACTTCCAGTTCGATGTGTGCCGACATGAGGTGCGTTATGGCTGCCTGCGTGAGGACAGCTGCCACTTCGCTCACAGTTTCATTGAACTCAAGGTCTGGCTGCTGCAGCAATATTCAGGTGAGTGTGATTTGGCTGGTGTTGTGTACACCTGAGTTTTTTCCAGTGTGTACCCAGGGCCAGTTGAGAGAAGAAGAAGATGATTTGGGAGTACTGAGGAAGTGTAATTTGCTTGTGCTTATTACTTACTCTGCCTCCTCAGGGACACAGAAAAGAGGACCAAGGTATTTTGTGAGGTGATTTGGCCCGTGTGCCTTTACAGGAACAATGCTATTATAATTTGCAGACCAGAAAGCCTATCTCATGGGACCACCTGAATATTAAAATGATAATTAGGTAGAGCTGAATCCTAATAGGTGTTTGGTGCTTAGATCTTGTGCAAATGGCAGTTGGACCCCTGAGTGAGCATATGCTGTAGTGTGAATGGCAGCATGCTCAGGTGACAAAGCAGTTGGTTATGTGAAGAGGCTGTGCATCTCCAGTTTCTCAAAATAAATTCACCAGTGGTGGGAAATTGCAAGATTCTTGGTGTTTTCCTGAAAAACCTTTGATAACATGCCTCAGGAGAGGGTTTTACAGAAATCTTCTTTGGGGAAGTCATATAATGACACTGTTACATTTGGCACTTTCAGTCCTTTCTCTTTGTCTCTGTCTGACGTACTGGAAGTTTCTTCTGGCTGCTCTCCTGTTGGCTGTGTAGATACTGGTACACCCGCAGTGCTACCTACATGTTTTTTTCATCACAGGGCCTCATTTAGTGGAACACCCAGCCTGGTAATGGGAGTACTTCCGAGAGAAAACACATTGTGGATGTTTCTCACCATTCTTTGATGTCAGAATTGATGTTCAGTGCAGTCCTGRGCCTTGGCTTCAGCTCATGAAGGACACTGATGAACAATTAGCACGCTATGGCAAATGCCATCTTTTATTCTTTCCATTTGCCTTCATTTACTTAAGGCCTCAGGAAATTAAAAAATTACAGCTCTGGAGTTCCTGAGATAGCATGTTGCTTGTGAGTTGTGGGCCACCATTGCCGCCCTATATGCTTGTAATACTGCTCAGTAGAGTACTCAGTACAGTACAGTAGAGTACTCTGGGCACTCYAATATTCAAGTACCTGCCTCTTTTCCCCATCCCATGGTTGGTTTATTTTTGTTGTTTTGGTTTGGGTTTTTTATTTGAAAAGCTTCTTTGCTCTCTTCTTCCTTCTCTTTTTGTTACTTCGTCTTCATCCTGCAGAAGAAACTGACCTTTCTTTTTCTTGCCTTTTTTYACTTGAAGAAATTATTTCAAAGGGAAAGTTAAGGAGATGAAACGAGCCATGAGTTAAGCTGCAGAGGTAGTCAGTAAGTCTTGTGCTTATTTCTACCTTTTCCTACAATAGAAGAGCATTATCATGCGTGGTTTTTTTTCCTACAGGGCTGTATGTATGAGCCTGCTTTCCTTGTGAGTTTGCCTTCCTGGAGTGGTAGTTTATTACCTCTCCTAAGTGTAGCCTTCATTATGAAAACCGAGATGAAAGGTGGTTGTTGCCATTCTCTGGAGAAGTTTCATTTGGGCACTATTTGCTCAGCAAGAATAGGAAGAGGGCAGCTTGCATTTGAACTTCAGAGCCATTTGAGCATTTACAGAGTTTTTGGCTTTGTTCATGGGGATAAAGGATTGTATTGGAGTAAATGTTCCCAAGATCTGAAAACTGCACAGACAGGACTATTTTCTTGTTCACTGTGGCTTTTCACAGACATCTCTTGCTATCTTCTTCCATCAGTAGTAATAACAGACTCTTTGTTTTCACTATTGATGTTGCAAAAGATGCTGAAATATTATAAGTAATCAACACATGAGCCTTTTGGTTCACAGTTAATTTCTTTGTGATAATTCATGCTTTGGAAAGCTGGTAGATTGGAAAACATCCTTTCACATTTGGCAGGGTTTTTCTTTCCCAACCACGACATTTCTATACTGTGTTGTTGAGTTAGTTCAGACTTCTGGAACTGGAAGAAGGCAGTCACAAGAACTGCATTTGAAATTCAGTCTTCTGACAAGACCTATATATGTTTCTCCCTTTGGTTCTGCACCCCAAGGATCACAGGTGTGCCGAATGGAGAAGGTTTTGGCCCTTTCTCTGCCAGGTCCAGTCCAGCATGTTGACTTTCTGCTGCAGTTTTCCCAGCTTTAGAGTTTTGTCCTCAAAGTACAAATCAGCATTGTGTCCAACCCTGAAATACTTGTACAGGAGAAGAGGGAGTTGCAATTTTTCGAACTCTACACCTTTTCTTCTGGAATTAATGGTTAAGAAGTAGAAAATTTACCAACAGCTCTGTGAGCAGTACCAGCTGTGCAGTAGGTGCTATTTTAAAGGCCTGAGCAATTGTTCTGGAATAATGGTGAAGTTCCCTGAATGCTTTTCATTCTGTCCAAGCCTTATGCAAATGGCAGTAATGTTGCCTGGCAGGGACCTGAACAGCCGAAAGCACAGATAGGGAGACTGAGGTCAGGAATGCTGTGACTTACCCAAGCTCCTACAGCCTAAGCTGAGATGAAAACTTGTGTTTGGTGGCCCTTAAGTTCTGGAATGTGCTGTCTCCCAGATCAATGATTGTTTCTATGTAATGCTCTTGGGGAACACCTCACTTCAGTAGAAAAAGCTGTAGGCATCAGCAAAGCAAATAAATTTGCAGCTCTTCTGTCCTGGGGGTGCTGCATGAAGGCCATCCTCAGCACTCCCCTTGTTGCAGTCAGCTGCCTGTGCAAGATAACTGCTTCAGTTTGCTTTGGCAGCTATGTTGGGTCTTTACAGCATTTAATAATGTGGTATTTTTATTTTGTCCCCTGTTTTTGGTGGGTTTTTTTTTGTTTGTTTATTTGTTTTGGTTTTTTAACAGTCCTCACATTGACCAAACTACCAAGAACTAAGAGTTCCTCTTCTCATGTAGTTTTTTCTTGGTGTTTAGTGCTCTGAGAATCATAACACCCATCTAGCTGGTTGGTGCTAAGACAGGCTGTTCTCTCACCACTTGAGCCGGTCAGGAGCTAATTCCTTAGATAAAGTCTGACCAATCCTTTTTCCTGTTGTCTGATGTTGCATTTCTGATACCTGAAACCTTGCAGATCTTTCCTTGCTGGTTACTTAGGGCATCTCTTCCTTGGTTGGTTTTGCACTGTTGGTCTTTCCTTGGTTGTGCTTGGTGTTTCTGTGTTGAATTTCAACTTTCCTCTTCACCTGTTGATTGATGGGGAGCCCCCTGAAACTGAAGATGTAATAGGTTTAATTAATTAATCCCAGCAGGTAATACGTGGGATTAGAGATGCTAGATGTCTTAGAGGTGCTAGATGTTTCAGTGGATATCTGTGATCTTCCAAGCTAGAGGCAAAAACTCCATATACAGTAAATCAACAGTAATAAAGCATTTTCTTCAGGACCTTGGTAGAATCTGTTGATATGGCTTTGGGGGACAGCTCTGGTCAAGCTCCTGACCCTTGTGAAGAATTATTGGCTTGGAGGCAGCACCTGGGTCCTTTGCGGACTGCCTGAGCAGAAGGCCAGGTCTGAACAAGCCCAGGAGACCAAACTTTTCTCCTTTTGTTTAGAGACAGGAGCTTCCTTRGTCTGGGGTTAAACATGTTCTGTGATGGGTCTTGTCACCACCCAGTCCTGACATTACCATGGAGACTGTTGGGATATGTCAGCCACTCAGGGGTTATTAAGCCCAAACATCAGAAGTTCTGCAACCCCTCCCTCTCTTCTCTTGGCCGAAGCAGGGTAGCTCAGTTCTGTCTCCTTTTTGTTCCCAGGAATGACCCACGAAGATATCGTTCAGGAGTCTAAGAAGTACTGGCAGCAGATGGAGGCACATGCCAACAAACCAGCCAACAGCGTGGTAAGTAAGGTCCATCTAGGGCTTGGAGAGTGGTTTTGCTCCCCAGAGTTCCAGCCCTTTCTCTCTTTTSTTCCCACTGCTGTGCCTTACAGATCCCAGGCAGAGCAGACTGGCCACTGAGGAGGAGGACAGCTGAGCTTTCCCTGTTGCAGTGCTGGTGTTGAGCCTTTTGCCTTGTTTGCATTGTTATTATCTGCTCTGTTCCCTGCTGGGGTGAAGCCTGCAGGTCACTGAGGTCAATACACAGAGAATGGTGCTTCCTGTGACACCTTGCTGGTGAAACTGGGAGATTTTGGGGCAGTGGCCACATAGTAGGGACTAGATGTGTCCTGCTGCCCTTCAGWGAACACAGTATGACAGAGCAGTTTGAAGGACTCATGACCTACAGGACTATCTAAACACAGGAGTGGATGGGACTGGCAGCCTGGGTGCTGTTGAGGCTGGGCAGAAACCTCAGTAGTGCTTTACCAGGAGGAGGTTGGGAGCTTTGCCTTTTTTTTTAAAAAAAAACAAAACAAAACAGTAAGATAAATGGACAGCGGTTTTCCTGTAAGCCTTGCAGCTTCAAATTCACCTTTGGAGGTGTTGGAAGAACAAGCTGTACAGCAAGTATGGTCAGAGCATGTCCTCTGAAGCACATGGAATCTGGATGCTAAGTGAAGGTTCCTTTTCTGGCTGCTGAGGCTTGCATGGGGCAGAGGATCAGTAAGTGAAATGCCAGAGCCTGCTACATTCAGGGCATGGGCAGAGAGTTACAGTTTCTGGGCCCTCTGGTAAGTGCTAGGGTTGATGACTGGTGGCAAAGTTTGGCTGCGCCCCACAAATGCCTGTCACAGAGCAGGACTGCATCCTCCACCTTTCCAGGGTGCAGAGGCAAACCAGCAGCCATGTTGGTTTGTCAGAAAGTGCTTACCAGCAGCAACACCAGCTGTCTGTAGGGATTGGCAGCCTGGCACTGGCACTGGCGCTGTGCAGGGAGACAGTCAACTCAGTCAGATGCATGTGTTTGTAAAAGCTCATCATGGCTTTGGCAACAGCACAGGGCTGTGCTTTGGGATGAGACCCTGGCTTGCTGCCAAAGACCCTGTGGGCAGGACTAGCTATCTGTTGAGAGATGTTTATTTTTGCCATTGTTTTCTCCTGTCCAAGCAGGCTAATGTGACTCAGAGTTTTCTCAGCGTCCTTCTAGCTTTCAAAGTTGGCTGCCTGGCAAAGACAACTTCCCAGGAGTGCTGTAAAAACAGACCCCCTTCTTCCCACCATCCCGTATGATCCACTCTCACTTCAGTGCCCTCTGGTCAGCGGAAGCAAAGATGTTCTGGGGGATTTTGCTGCAGTTCTGTCACAGCTGCCAGTTGGACTCAGCACCTGGGGCTGTCCAGTTGTGGAGAAAGAGGCAGGCAGCATGCAGGGGCCCAGTAGCTGTGACAGTGAAGGTCAGGAGACTTAGCAAGAAATGAAAAATGAAGATACACTGCTTGCCAAGCACTTGCCAGGTATCTTGCACTTGACGGCACAAATCTGGCCTCAGTGGCTGCTGTAGGAGTAAACCCGGTGGTCRCAGATTGAAGAGACAGTCAGCAGGAGGGGCTGCTGTAGGGAGCTGGGTGTCCTCCCATCACATCCCTGCAAACTGAGGGATTTGTAGTCCTCCTTTTTTCTGTTTTTTGAGAGCTGTTTTGTTTTTTTTTTCCCTAGCCAGCTGCAGAATCTCCATGAAAGCTGACCTCAGATATATCAGTTTAAGCTTGGAGGGGAAAAAAGAAGTCTTCAATAAGAAGTACTTGCACCTAAGTACTGCTCACTTGGTTAGGTGGCTGAGTAACCTGGGCTCCTCATAGAATCCCATGAGGCATGTGGCTCCTCCAGAGACCATTTCAGTATCACTGAGAGGGGTTCCTCTCAGCTGGGAGACATGAGTGGCCATGCAGAGTCAGTTGCTTTCTGCAGAGCCTGAAGTGGAGAGCTGTCATGCCAAAGACTTGTATTTATTTGGTTGCCATGGTGCATTGCTAACACTGTATTATCTGGCTTCATAGCAAGGGGTGGTGCCATAGCCCAGGGCACTTTTGCCTGGCTTTGTCTGCTAGAGCCTCATGTGATATAATTTCCACACTGTTGGTTATCAGCAGCCTGCCAGGTATGTGTCTTRCCATTATAAATACAGTCATGTAGCATTAACAGCAGCAGCTTTGATTTTTTTGCTTGGCTCCTAATCCCCTGTGAGCATACATGTCCACTGGATTGACCAGCAGTTTGCATGACTCGGATGAAGAAATGCACAGGGCTTCTGGTTAAAAATTTGTCRAAAAAGCAGTCCAGATTATCAGAACTACCTGAGAGGTATTTTCTTTCTCTTTGATCTATTGTCCCTTCTGGAGACACTGAGTTTTTAGTTTTGCAGGGTCAGTAGGTTTGAGCAAAGCTTCCTGGCTGTTCTGAGAGATCTGTCACCAGGATAGGATGGGTTTGATTAAAGGAAGTGTGCCAGGAGTGCCACTTTGTTACTGTAGCCTATAGGTTTGACGCGTCAGTAGTGAGGTGTTACGGAGTTTCCTTTGGAGACCAAGAAGAGATTAAAACTACTGTTCAAAGGCCACACATCTGAGAGTGTGACCTTCCGTGATAGCCCAGGTCTCAACTCTGCTCATCCCACAGCCAGCCACTTTGATGTGTTCTTGTCACCAGCACAGGTGACAGCTCCCAGCAAATGATGAATGAATCATGTACTGGGAGCTACCAGAAAGGTTGTTCTTGCAGATGAGTAGGCCAGAATCACTGCTGGTTTTCAAAAGAGRTGCCTGGTTATCTTGGAGGGTGCTTTTGCTGGGACATCAGAGAACTCATGGCCTCTTGTAGTCAGCACAGGCAAGGTCAGCTCCCCGGTTAGCTTTTCGCAGAGGACCTTTCATATGTCAGCTCTGGCTCTCCAAAAGACTAGGTCTGGAGGATGCAGAATGGCAGATGATAGCTGATGTGGCGTCTCCTGGGAGATGTTTTGATTTTGTGTTGCCTATACTTGCTGTTTYCTCTTCACCAAGGGATGAACACAGGGTCCATGCTGCTGCTAATCAATTGCTGGCAGAAACCTGCTCTTCAGGGACATGGCATACATGTCTGTTTATTATGAGATGCTCATGGTTAAAGTCAGAGCATGGCAGGTGGGACGGGCTGCTGATGTGGTTGACAGAGAATTGTTTTGCTGGTTCATGACTTTTGTGCTTCATGGCCAGCTCAATGACCGGGGTGTTCTCATGTGCTCTCACATACTCCTRTGCCCAGGGCCACTTGCGTCCAGTCAGGTTTGGAAATGAACTGGAGATACCAGTCTCATGTCTTCCAGTGGTGATACAGAATGCAAACAGCTTTCCAGAGATTTGCTCAGAAAACAGGGGAAATGAGGCAGAAGTGATATGAGACTGGCTCCTTTTATTTGTTTTCCTTCTCCACAGTCTGTTAATCATAATTCCAAACCAGCCTTCTCAGCAGAGGTGGGGGCAATAAGTGCAGTGGCTGAGAAGATGTGAAATACGTTCATTGTACCTCTGTCCACTCTGTCCAACGACTGTGATTTAACTGCTTGTGAAACCCAGTGTAGAGGAACTGTGAGAGATGGAAAACTGGCCAGAAATGGCTTGGAAGGATAYCAACAAGAGGACCCAGCTCTGACTGCATGGTGTCAAATGTTAGCTGTGACACAAGCTTCTTTGTCCAAAAGCAGGAGTTTCGGCTCCTGCATTGTGACATGGTCTTGCTTCCTCCTGAGGGGGCTCTCTCGGCTGTGTGACTGAATGCTTTCCACAGACAGAGTGGGACATGGATTGCCCTCCCTGCTGGGAAGTGGAGATTAAGCCCTGGGACAGGTCTCACAGAGCTTGTCTGTACACGGAGATACACTGCAGGGGTTTCACAGYCAGGGCTGGTCACTGCTGAAAGTTGCCAGGGTGTCTGTGCTTTTGGCCAGATGTCAAAGTCCAGAAAATCATGCTGAAGCAAGCAGTGGTTTTGCTCCTGTCTGGTATCTCATCAGGCCACCAGTTAACACTGGCAAAGGAGAGCTGATTTAATCTGGCTTGTCGCTGGCACATGGGCATGCAAGGAGCTGCCAGCATCTCCATGGCAGGTTTGGAGGGTGCATTTTACCTCTGTTTGCCTGAGGCTGTGGTTCTTTTCCCCAGGCTTCTTCCCGGACTCCCACGTCAAGCACCTTTGACCTCCAGATGAAATTTGTGTGTGGCCAGTGCTGGAGGAAYGGACAGCTGGTGGAGCCAGACAAAGACCTCAAGTACTGTAGTGCCAAAGCCCCCCACTGGTGAGCAATGCAACCTTCTTTTTCCTCTACCCCTCTTTTAGGGCAGGAGTTTTTCATCCTTCTTTCTCCAGGGCTTCATTTGGCATCTTTGGAAGAGGCTGTAAGGTTTCCTAGCAGCCTCTCACTGCTCAGGGTGTTTGTCACTATAGCAGGCATTGCAGATGGAAGCTGGAAAACAGCTATCTCTCTTCTTTACTGTGTGTATTTGCTGCCAGCGTTGTGCAGACTGTTACTCCTGACACATGCAGTCCGGCTCCCACAATTCCCTTTTCTCCCAGCTGCTATCATTTCTTCTTAGCAAAGTCACTAACAGTGTTCTCCTTTGCATGTGTTTATACTCTTAGCTGTTTGCTGATGTCTGTCAGGTCACTATTAGCAATGATTCAATGYATTCTGCTTCCTTTTAAATTAGTTTCCCTTTGCTCTTTCATTGCTTTGGTTGCTCTTCTATGATGCATGCCATGTCTGTTTGCACCTCTTGACTCCTTGGGGCCCCTGAGAATGTTCGGTGTGATAGAATCATTGAATCATAGAATAGTTTGGACTGGAAGAGACCTTTAAAGGTCATCTGATCCAGCCATCCTGCAGTGAGCAGGCACATCTTCAACTAGATTGYATTGCTCAGAGCCCCATCCAGCCTGACCTTGAATGTTTCCAGGGATGGGGAATCAGACACCTCTCTGGGCTGTGCCAATGTTTCAATATGATCATCACAAAAAATTCCTTCCTTGTATCTTGTCTGAATCTACCCTCTTTTAGTTTCAAGCCACTACCTGTTGTCACAACACTACAGGTCCTACTAAAAAAATTGTTCCCATCTCTCCTTTAAGCCCCCTAGAAGAGAAATATTGGCTAGGAAGTCACTGTTTGGTCATGGAAGCTGTGGCCTGTCTCACCCAGCCAGCCTGGAGGGATAGGATGAAAGGGTTTATAGGACTTCTCTTCCCATAACACAAGTCACAAAGGCACAATCCAGCTTCCTATTGCAAATGTAAGACTTTTGTTGAAGAAGAGACAGAAGCAATAGCTTCTGGAGGAAGCWAGGAGGTGAGGATTGCTTCCTGGGATGGGAAAAATGACACCCCTTTATGCAGCTGCTGAATACAGATGGGGTTTTTTCTCAGGGTATCTACTGGTGATTGCTTGCTGGAGCTGCAGGAGAATTAATACTCCTGGCACTGTTCATAAGGCAGTACTTGTAAAGACTTGTATTTCTATTGCACCTTTCAAGCAGAAAATGTTTCCAAGTGTTTTTCATGGATCTGATTGCACAAGAATTGGCTGTTTCAAAGGGTGGAWTGTAGCTGTTTAATAATCTGTGGTGATGCCATGTGAGATTTGGGGGAGATTTTTGTGGCTTTATGAGAAAAAGTACCACAGGAAATAGGTAATACATACCTAGGAGAGAAGTCCTCCTAAAACAGCTTTCTTGTGGCTTCTCCATCATAAATGTGCATGTCTAGGAGCAGCCAGATAGTGCAGGGAYAAGCTGGACAGGAAAATCTGCTCATCTCTCTGAGGTAAAGAACCCTTGTTTTGCTCTTCCTTATGCCTCTCTTGATTTATTCTCTCTTCYTCAGCTGGACAAAAGAACGTCGTGTCCTGCTGGTGATGTCCAAAGCAAAGAAGAAGTGGGTRTCTGTCCGACCATTGCCTTCCATCCGCAACTTTCCACAGCAATATGATGTAAGCCCTATGCCCAGCACGACCGGGTGCCCTATCCCTTTCCCTTTCACCATGGTGCAGCGCTTTGAGGGCTGCTCCCTTGAAGACCTGTTCAGGGATGCAAGCACATGRTGGCTGAGATGGGAGGTAAGGACAGACTGATGGCAGCAACACACAACCTGCAAAAAAATGGAGCTGAAAAAGGAGCACCCATTTAAACCACTGGACACGCAAATGCGAGTTTCCAGTGYTGCTGCTAATACATCTCTCACTGGCACAGGGTTTGGGAGTGAAATTTAAGACTCCCCTTAGGTCAGGGTTTCTCAATGTGGGTGAGAGGCGAGATGCTTAGGAGAAGCCTGTCCCTGCTTTTGCTGTGACTGTACCGCTGTAGATTGTGAAACTTGCTTACAATGGGTTTTGAAAGCAAAACTAAGAAGTCAGCTAAAAAGCCACRTGCTGTGAGGAGAATTACAGATATCCAGCCTCCAACATCAGCCCCAAATGTGGTGATAGGGAATTTCTCCCTCCCTCTCCTTTTCTTTTTCCCTGAAAGGAGAAAGCTCCTTCTCCCTACCCTATAATAGGTCCTCCTCTTGTGCTGGGAGCTGGGGAGAAGAAATGATCAGTAAGTAAGATGCTTGGGAAGCTTCTCATTTTCTCTGGCATGATGCTGTGGGTAGCTGTGTGTGCACTAGTGTGGTCTAAGCAACCTWTAAGGCCACTCTTCACCCACTTAGAGATGGCTGGAGAATGAGTCACCTTTGAGGACCTGCAGCTTGATCAGCAGGAGACATTATTGGGTCAATCCAAGTTGCTCCCTACTGTTTTGCCCTGTGCTTGCACCTGGTCACATATGGAAATGGCAACAGGTGCTGAACTGCCTGCATGCTTATGTCATCTGGAAACTGAGGAAAGGAAGCATGAGTTATAGATATAAAGTGTTCTGTTTGCAATCTCTCCTAGATGCAAATTAATGCCCTGGCTGGTTATCGAACCCACTTGCCCCTCTAGCGAGGCATGATTGTGCAGATGCTAATTTTTTCTCTGTCTTTTAACAGTTGTGTATCCATGCACAGAATGGTAGGAAATGCCAGTATGTGGGCAACTGCTCCTTTGCCCACAGCCCTGAGGAGAGAGAAATGTGGACCTTCATGAAAGAGAATAAAAGTGAGTGGGGGAAATGTGGGCCAAAGAGTTTGGGGAGAGGGAAGAGGACATTTGGGCAGTGGATGGAGGGTCTGTTAAGATATATTCATGACAACAGAGATGGAGCTGGACAAGGCTGCTGCCATGAGTTTAGGCAGGATTATGGGGCAGGTCTGTCTTCAGCTGTTCTTTTCTTAAATGTGTATGTATCTCTTGAGTCCCTTGCTGCGGAAGTACACATTGGTCTATGTCTCACATTGCTTCATTGCTACCCTTCCTTTCTGCACCACTTTTGAATCCACACTGTGCTGTCCCTCCAACTGGCTGCAATGTCCCAGGCCTAGCTCCATATGGAGCTCTGCCAAAGCACCAGTCCTGGCCTGTAGTTGCTTCTATATATTTCTTGTCTGTCTTCTATCTGTCTTGGCTATCTCATCTATTTCTGTTCAAATCCCTTGCTCCTGGGCTGCGACACTCCCTGCTCATGGCATTGTATTCAAAGGGGTGGAGTTGAGATCCTGAATGAGAACATCTTTGGGTGGTGCATTTGTGGAGGAACTTGTCTGTATTTAATTATGCAAGTTTACATTTTGAGGGATAGTTGGGGGGTTGTCCAGCTTTGTGGCAGAAATCCTTCTGTATTCTGACCAATAGGAAGCTGGGAAGGAAAGGCCACTTGTCTAGGTGCTCACCTGCCTCTGTGGGAACTGCTGGAAATCTGAAGGATTTCAGGCCTGCCCTGAGTTTATTTAGTCCATATGATTYTGTGAAGGGTCCTTCTCTCTGCTGAGCCAAACTTACTTGTTACAGTTCAAATAATTTCATTGCTGAGGCCTTTAAAGCACATCAGACCAGTCTACCAGTGGGTAGATTGCTCAAATACAAAGGTGAATCTTCAAACTACAGGGGTTTCAGTTTGAGGAAATTTGCATTCATTATCCCCAATTGCCTCAAGTTCCTCAATTACCCATTTAGCAAGGAGTAAATCACTAATTCATCACACTTAGAGTATCATATAAATGTCTGCAAACATTTATGTTGCCATAGCCTCTTTCAGGAGTGATCTTGGAAAGGCAGATGTGTAGTTAAAGCTTCCACCTCAAATTTCCCTTCCCAGAGTATGCTGAGTGGCTTTTAAATCAAAAGCCTCAAGAGACATTGACTACAGTCCTCTGGGCAGGTTTTGAGCTTGGAGCTATCAGTAGGTCTTCCTCCTCTCTGCAGTGCTTCMTGTGGCCAGCTTGCTTAAGGGCACTCCTCCCTCTCTAGTGCTGAGGATGAAGCTTGGGTTTAGAAGGAAGAGATGGATCTGAAACGGGCCCCTGCCTTAGCTTCCTGTCTGGAGTGAAATGTCTTCTGAGGTTAAGCAGAATCAGGCCTGATGGCGAATCATCTTGTAGGGTGAATTCCAAGGAGATCCTGTGGCACTTTGCCACCTTTCTGAAGGTGGCAATCTGAAAAGTTTGTGTAGCTGCAGTCACAGTTGTCCCTTGACTGATAGATGACACCCCCCAGGTGGTGTGGTGTGAATTTGGTTCCTCTCTCCAGGGGTCTCATCTGAGGAGGTGACATGGAGCACAAGCCCTCAGACTGGTGCTGCTGCACAGGGAGGGGAGGGCTGCCCAGCATTTGTCCTTTTCTCAGTCTGTACACAGGGTGGGAGGTTGTCTGAGTGGTTTCACGTGTCGCCTTTACACAGTACTAGATATGCAGCAGACCTATGACATGTGGCTAAAGAAACACAATCCTGGAAAGCCTGGAGAGGGAACTCCACTCACCTCACGAGAAGGGGAGAAGCAGATCCAGATGCCCACTGACTATGCTGATATCATGGTAATAAGCTGATCTCTTGTTCTTCATTCCTCATCCTTCTCCTCAGTGCTGCTAGCCTGCCTCTCTCCTGTGCTCCAGGTGGGGCCAGCAGGGCTGCATTGCTCTTGTGAAACAAAGCCTGTACTAAAGTAGGTTAAATGGACAGCTTGGAGCAGCACAAGAGCAGCCCAGCTGAAGTGGGAAGAGATMGACCTGGGGTCAGCAAGGCTCTGCAATGGCTTTTCAGTTAATCCTCAAGTCATTAGGAATCTACCTCAGGTTCCCTTTTGCATGGGCTCAGCCTCTCTCCAGGGTTCCTGCCTGCTCCTGGGCAAGCTGGCAAAACCATTGCAGGCCTGTCAGAAGAGGGAGAAGCTTGGAGAAGAGCCAGCACAGAAGCTTTGGAAAACTAAGGCAGATGTGCCTCCTTAGGCCAAGAGTGGTGCTGGTGTAAGGATCTATGCTACTGAAGAGTCCTGCATTGCCTATGAACCTGGGGACTTTGCAGTGAGACCCCACTGGGCCATCAACAGGGACAGGGGGATCATGTCAATGAACTGAGCTGCCCTGTGCTCTGAGCCTGTTTGAGCCATAGGTAAACTCTGACAGAGCATATCCTTTGTCCCTCTTTAGTTTCAGCACAATTCCCTAGAGATGACATGGCAGAGAAATGTGGGTAGTCACAGACTGAGTGGAGCTTCCAGGATGCTCTGGGAGGAGAGGGGGAGAGGCAGTGCCTGCACGAGATAGGCCAGTGGATGTGAATGTTATTGCACTGACTGGCCCTTTTCCCTGTTTGCACTGGTTAGATGGGCTACCACTGCTGGCTTTGTGGGAAGAACAGCAACAGCAAGAAGCAATGGCAGCAGCACATCCAGTCGGAGAAGCACAAGGAGAAGGTCTTCACCTCAGACAGTGACTCCAGCTGCTGGAGCTACCGCTTCCCCATGGGTGAATTCCGGCTCTGTGAAAGGTACTGTCGTCTTATCTCCCTCCTGTGCTGCTGCACAGGGACAGGGTAACAGGCCCAGGGCATCTGTTATGCCACCTCATCCTCTCACAGAGTTCTTCTGCATGGAAGAGGAGTGGGATGAGATGACACGTTTCAGTGACAATGAGGCTGCTGTTGGATCCCAGAGGTGCTCAGCCACAATATTGAGGGGTAAAAACATTCCTGCGCACATGTCTTTAGAAAAGGAGAGTTTCATGTCTGCACCTGTACCCTTCATAGCCAGAATGCTCTCAGGTCTCAGGCTGTTGGCCAGTCCACTTGACCGAATGCTTGGGGGAATCCCAGGTGCCTTATTCAATGGTTTCAATCTCTCACACCTTTAGAATCAGCACCTTAAGGTGTCTTTAGAAAGCTCGTGATAGTTAAAAATGCCATTTTGGTTAGAGAGCAGGCTCTGTCATTTGTGCTGGTTTCCTGGCTTTTCCTCTCTTGCACTGGTTTTGACTCATCGCTGCTGGTCCAGYTTCAGCTCACATTTTTGTGTGCTCTTGACTAAATCCTCTTGTAGCCACTGGTCTTTTTGATGCTGTATTTTTTTCCCAGCCTTGATGCCCTTCCCACCTGCACATGTGTTTAAGGGAGAATCACCTCACCCTTAAAAAGGAGAACTCACAGCATGTTTCAATGGGTCCTGATCAAGTATTCCAGACAGGGAGCTCAAACCCTGGCACTGGGCACTGGRGGTGCCCTCCTGACTGCATTCCTTGTGCCGGCAGGTTCCAGAAGAACAAGGCCTGTCCTGAAGGAGAGGAGTGTCGCTACGCCCATGGGCAGGATGAGCTGACRGAATGGCTAGACCGGAGGGAAGTGCTGAAACAAAAACTGGCCAAAGCCCGCAAGGACATGCTGCTCTGCCCCAGGGATGATGACTTTGGGAAATACAACTTCCTATTGCGGGATGATGTATAGTAAGGGCTGGGGGGAGTCTGTCAGCAGAAACACAGGGTGGGTTTTCTGAGTGGCAGTAGCAGGGAGAGTGAGATCTGTGTCTTGCAAAGATAACTTCTACTTTTCTTTAGTTTTAAGATTATGAGATGATGATTTATTAATGGTGAATKAATTCATGAATTTAATTCTCATTGGCCAGCGAACACCATGCTCACTGAGTTTGTGATCCATCTTTTCTCTCTTCTTTTGCCCAAATTCTCCTTCCACTTCATCTTTTTTTTTTCACTGTCCTTCTTTCAAAGGAATTAATTCAGTGTGTACTGGGCTGCAAATCAGAGATTTTCTCCTTGTATCATTCTTCTTTCAGTTCAGAGTATGACGGTGGAGGTCTGTAGGACAAAGCTGAGATAGAAGGCCAGAAAAGTTGTGGGTGCCCCATCCCTGGAAGGCTGGGATGGATAGAGCTCAGAGCAGCATGGTCTAGTGGAAGGTATCCTTCTAAATGACAGGGGGATTGGAACTASATGGTCTTTAAGGTCCCTTCCAACCCAGGCCGTTCTATGGTTTTATGGCAACTGGTGAAAAGGTRATCATGAATTTCACGTGTTCCTTTTCTCAGTGCTGCAGAGTAAGCCCCACTTACCTTGCTGCAGTCCTCCTGCTCTCTGGGGAGTTAGGAGAAATAGGAATTGAGGTGCAAAGAAGAAACCCACTAGATGCAGCTTAAAACATTTAGACTTATGCTCCAGCTGTCTGTATTGCCCTGAGGCATCAACTGGTCCYGAGGAGGTTAACAGCTGTGTGGTGTAACAAGTGCAAGGCAAAARCAGCAAAATAATGGAACTGCTTGCAGCAGCAGGAGCTGGGTTGTAGGTGACTTCAGCTAAATGTACTCAAAAAGCAAGTTGGGGACTTCTCGTTAGATGTCTTTTTCAGTGTCTGGCAGGTATTCAGGGCAGATAGTTTGGGTTTGCTTTTAAGACTGGTGTGGCTGGTGCAAATAAAACAAACCCCTCTAGGAGGTGTAGTGGAGTCTGACACAGCAGTACTGAAGTCTCCACTCAGTAGTAGCAGTCAGGAGGGAGGCGATTACCGAAAGGAGCCTGTGTTTCTGCATTGCCTTGAGTCCTGAAGAGAAAGAGGGAAGTAATGGTRTTGCTTTCTTGCTCTTTAAATGGCATGTGTTTCTGGTTACTTAGAGCTGGATTTTTCCTAGCACTGCCAGAACTGGGTGGGGACCCATTTAAAAGGACATCATTGAGCAGCATGGGCAATGTTCAGCTAATGGGAATCCAGCTGGAAGCTCTTACCAGCATCAGAGATCCAGCCCACTCCTCCTCAGAGCCAGGGTAGAGAGCTTGCAGATGCACAGTGCAACCAGGATGTGACCCAGAGCAGGGAYAGCAGTGGAGAATGAGTGTCACAGTGGGAGTCAGCCATGGCTTGCTCCTGTGCTGCCTGATGTATGCTGTGATGGAGGAACTTGTAATGCTGAACTCCAGGACAGGATTTTTGCTGTTATAAGTGGCAGCAGTGAGATGTAGTACTGCTCTGAATGCCAGTGTTGTCTTTTCTGGCAGTCTCATCCTGTAAGCAGTAAATGTGTCCCCTGTCCTGAGCTTCCCTCTCCTTCTCTCTTCTGCAGTCCAGCTGTGCTCTGCAGTTTTGCATGCATGGATGACACCATCCACTCAAACACAAACACAAATACATCTCCCTCCCAGCCTTTATCAGGGATGTCTGTTTCACATCCAGGGAGTCTCCAAGGACAGCCATCTTGGAGCCCTTGGGACTGGTAGTGCTGTATCCATGTTAAATACAATCTGGCCATGAACTGCTTGGTGCTTTGGCATTGCTGGGTCCTCCCGTTCTTCCCTGTGCTCATATCCTTGGGGTTCCCAACTTCAGGAGAGATGGCATGAGGAAATCAGGAGATGTGGAGATGCTGTGGGGCAACTGACACCCTTCTAAACCAGCCTTCAGGAGGATGCTTCAGCTCCACTGGGATCGTTAGGGTCCAGTTATGGAACAGAGGGCTCTGCATGCTGTTCTGGAATCTTCCCAGAAACACAGTGTGATCTAAGTAAACAGAATGTGCCTCTGGACTTAGAATAATATAGGTTGAAAAAGATCTCGAAGATCATCAAGCCCAGTTGTTAACCTGGCACTGCCAAGTCCCTAGACAAAACCATGTCCCTAAGTGCCACATYTACATATATTTTCCTGGCCAACTCAACCACTTCTCTGCAGGGCTTTTTTCCTCTCCCTTAAAATGTGGATGGTAGTCTCTGGTTTTGGTATAAGCAATATCAGATATGGCAATTTTTGAGTGGTCAAGTGCTGTATTTTCTCCTCTGTCCTCTGTGGTAGCTATGGTACCTTGTCCTGGTCATCCTTGTGCTCAGGTGGTCAGCTTTAGAGATGGGAAAAGACGGGCATCAGCTCCTGGGTTATCTTGTTCTACTCTTCTTGGGCAGAGTCACCAAGGAAGGAAACCTGGATTGGGGGACACTGGAATGTGTTTTTATTTTTAAAACCAACCTGCATCTCTAGTGTGATTCTAGCGTTCGCTGAGCCGTGATTTTTCATACAATGACTTATTTAGGTTATGGAGTGGGTCACTGTCCCCTCTCCCCCTCTCTGCAATGAGAGCTGAACTGTCCAGTGGAGTTTCAGAAGTTCGTGCTGGGACAGAGATGGGGGAGAGGGCGAGCGTGGGTGAGGTGAGGTGAGGTGAGGTGAGGTGAGGTGAGGTGAGGTGAGGTGAGGTGAGGTGAGGTGAGGTGAGGTGAGGTGAGGCGAGGCGAGGTGAGAGGCCCACGGTCATGGGGGTTGCATCAAGTGTCTCTTTGTTTTCCCTGATATGATAACCTGGTCTGTGGTGTTGCAGTACTTTGTCACCAGACTTGTATTAGTGTGTATATATGTTACCCCTCCCACGAAGCATATATACACAGGTATTAAATATATCGCTTTATATAATATTATATGTGTGTGGTATCGAAGGAATCTTTTAAATGAGGGTAAAGGAAATGGACTCAGGCCAGTAAACGCAGCATCTCCAGTTTAAATATGAAGTCTTTTATGTGGAATAGGGAAAGGGAAATAACAAAAGAGGGGAGGGTTTTATATAGATAGGTATAAACTTTGAGATGGGACAGGCTTCCCTGTTCACATGTTTGAAACCCTTTAGGATGTCCTTGCAGTCCCACCTCAGTGAGAGTATTATACTGCTAACTAGCAAGTAAAGTTTTAATATAAGGCTTTGCTTATATTATTTAAAGGGACATTGTGAAAGGCAGAAAGTTTCACACTTGACTTCCCAGGCTTGCTTTATCAAGCCAAGAGGGTTTTGTTCAGCACATTATGGGCTCTCAGCAGAAATGCTCAGTGCTCACAGCTCTACAGCAGATAAACCACAAGTTGTAGGGACTGCTTTAGTATTATGTTATGATAACTCTCTCCTCTTTATTTATGTGAGAGAAGAAGAAAATTCTGCAGCACAGTACCAAATTTGAGGCTTATTAACAAAGGAAGTGATGTTTCACTTTTATAACATTAGAAGAAAATCTCATATCCTGTAAAATAACCATAGACATTCGCACAGAGCAGAAACTTGTTAAATGCTGAAAGACTTAGTGAAAATMTTTTCCCAAATTCTTTGGTAGGGGCAGGGATTTTGGTGACACTGGCATYGGAGTTAACCTGGCCTTTACAGGGAGAAATTGAAAAAAACAAACTAAAAAATACCCTASTTAGCTTGTATGAAACTGTATGTCAAAAATGTATGGGTTTTAGCATGTGAAAGGAAAAGATAGCAAGGGGATGCTGCAGTTCTGAGCTGGGTAGTAATGATTTYGAGTCCTTTAATATGTCTTTGTATTAATATAATTTAAGAATACCACGCTTTACTATTAAAAAAAAGACTTAGTATCTTTCATAAGGTCTAGTATCAGGATAATTATGTAGACGTTTTAACAATGTTTTTGTTTTTGTTCTTAAATAAGAAAAAAACCAAACTTGCTTCTTTTAGCCTTTGTAATAGAAAATAAAATGTGCACTTTAAACCSTCTCCTGATCCAGAATGTGTTTGTGTTTTTCAAACAGCCCACAAAGGATTTTTATGTTGGTTTCAGGTTTCTCTGCTGTGAAGAGGGTAGCAAAGGGAGCATGTCAAGTATTGGACCGCTTTGGTTTTCTCCCATCTTTAAGTATAATCTGCTGCTCTGTTGCTGAGTGGAAAATTGCCTATGTGCGTATTAACAGGTTCTGCCATTCATCAGACACATAGTTCTTGTGACCTTTACATGTATTTCAAATGTTTTTCTTTCACTGCAGTGCCAAGAATCCATGCACTCTGCATTAACACATAGTTTCAGGGGTTTGGGTAACCTGTGTTTTGAAACCTCCAGTAATCCACTTGTAAACATCTTCATCTGGAGATTGTTCTGCTGTGTAGGCTGCTTTGTTCAACTGGGTTGGGCAGTTCTTTGCCTGTCAGCRTGCACCATGCTAGGGAAAGTGCCCTTCGCCCTACCTACCAAGTCACACACAGCTTGGGCCATGGGAAGCGTCTGTGCACTTTCCTCCTGGAGAGGATGCTGTGTGAGGAAACTGCACTRGGGGAAGAGATAAGTATGAAAATATTTATTAATAAACTCGCCTTCTTTATTTTTCGAATCCATCAGATGCAGATTAATGTATATTCTTGACGAAACTAAAACTGGAGATGTGATGAAGACTGGGGTGTCCCACAGATACCCCCTGCTACTGCTGTATAAACTGACCAGAAGGTCATATTCAGTGAGGCCTGAAGAGACAAGGTTTGTCACACATCTCCTTGATGTGCCTTCATACAGACAAAAGAACTTATGTCCTTCTGGTCAAAGAAGAAGCCTGAACACATTCTTGTAGTGCAGGGGAAATGAGGAGACGGGTGTACTTCCAAGGTGCATCAATTGAGTACACAYAATGTGAGAGACATTAGTTTTACATTCCAAAGATTGTTGAGGCCATGCTGGCAAGAGTTAAGTGTCACTTTTCCGGTAGAATTGAAACCAAAATTGTCAAATTGTGAGACGGACAAAACATCAGGAGGAAAAAACCCTAGTTTCCTTGCAGGTTTGAGCCTCAGCTGTAAACCAGTGTTTCTTCATTGAAATAAAACTTGTATTTTGGAGAGGAAGGAAGGAAGTGGTGATTTCAGTAATCAGATCCTCCTAGGAACTTCAGCAGATACAAAGACAAGGTGGAGAGACCCAGATCAGCCAAGAAGGATCCAGGTTCTGTGGAAGATTGAGAGGAGCAGGATAGAAATCCCTGAGAGATGGGAAGAAGGCTTTGTACTGGGGACAGTTAATACCATCACACAGCAGCCTGGCAGAGAGAGTTTACTGCAGATGAGAATCCTAAGCAATTCTGTGWCTGAGTCTGCCTACTCACAGTATAGAGAAACATTTCTGGGCAGTGACAGCAGGTGATGCAAATGCTGTCATCCTCTTCATTGTGTTTGCTGCTGCCATTGCAACCAGGAACAGGGTCATGTTGTGTTGTGTCCTGTGCACAATGAGCAGCAGAGAATTCCTGTCATGCAGGAGCTGTAACCTGCAGTGTGGCATTGCTCAGTGGCTGGGGTGGAGGGCACAGAGGAGGTAACTGTGTAGGGCAGCTGGGGGAAAATCATGGGGCAGAAAGCTGAATAGTAAAAGAGGCCTGGATGGGAGTGACAGATTGGAGGAAGCGCAGGAGGAAAGGCTGCAGGCACTCCAGCTGGAGCACAWAGCTGTTTGATACGGGGTGGAGGAAGGCATTGAACAAACTTGGATGGGTGCTATGGAATGGCTCTAGGCAGAGGTCCTGTGGACACAAAATTCCTAGGGCTTCCTGGAAAGTTGCGGGCTCTGGTCAGGAGCTCTAAGCCATGTTTCATTCAGGCTTACCCCTTTCTCCCCAGGACAGGCGCAAACAGGACAGGACCTATCCATTCCACCTAACCTCTCTCTCTTCCCAGATCAATTGTCATGTCGTTTCTCTGTGGTTCCCCCTTCAGGCAGGAGCAATGTGTCCTGGTACCCCAGGGACAGGAGTGGTATTTCCTGAAAACAAATCCAGTTGAGGCAAAGACAAGAGCAGAGACCAGAGCAAATGACAGTTCCAGCTGACTCACTTCCCACCACAAGAGTGGGAAGTGACAGCTCCCAAGATTGCCCCTTTCAGGGATTCTCCTCTCT